CAGTCCAGGGCGGTAATATCGCCAGACTGAGCTATGATTTCCTGCAGGAGCCGTCCGAGTGCGTTCTGCTTCTTCTCGGTATAATCAACATGTAGGCGGACGCCAAAGATGCCGAATAACGAGTATGCGATGTCTTCTTGCAACGTGGTAATACGTGTCGACGCCCACTGAAGTTTCTCTCGGGCATCTCTCATCCCGGGATGGAAGGCCACGACAGCTTGTTGATCTATTCCCGTCGCATCCTCCAATTCCTGCATGATCGCGACGGAATCCTTGTGGTTGCGGGCGCGAGGGTCGAGATAAAGAGTCCAGTCTTTCTGATAGAAGAGGATGACTTTGGGAGTGAGGAATTCTTGAACAGTCCATCCACGTGTGTTCCAAACGCTCTTTGCCAGTGTACCAGACTTTGACAAAGGCGGAACATCTGAGAGGTATACGACCGTGAGTGCGGAGTGGTGATACCAAACGAACATGGACTTGACCGATGCTTGGAGTTCAACATCGATGTTCTTGTCAATACAGCATGTATCGCTCCATGCCCAGCGGTATCCTAAATCACGAGCAGTTTCGCAGAAGGACTGCAACTTTTTGATGCCGCCAACAGGATCCAACTTATAGATAACCCTGTCCTGGATATCCTGCAGTAGCGGCTCCTTCCCTTCCCACCTGTGCGATAGCATGACATATTGGAAGTATGTCATCACCACTTCTTCAACGTGCGTTATTTGGATATCCCGATGCGCGATTGTTGATGACAAGAGCTCCATATACTCTATGCTCGATTTGAAGGTGAGGATCTGCGCCTCGCGATCGCATAGGAGTCCCGTGGTGGTGTCGAGCACGCGCAGCGGAGCATTGTCAAGTTGAGCATCAATAACTTTTTGAATAGCACAGTCTACTTCGGATGGACTGAGATACTCTACAGAAATAGTCAAAATGTGTTGGTGTATGAGGTGTTGGGACTTACTTCGCGTCTCAGTGTCTGGAGCATTTTCCAGTTTTGAGAGCATCATTCGGAAGGCCGCAATAGCTTCATTATAGAATTTTGAGCCATGAAGTGCTGCATGCTTCAACTTGTATCCAATATGAGACGAAGGGTTGAGTTGGATGACCTGTGTATCACCGCAATGAGCACATGTGAAGAAACAATACATGTCATTGTACCTTCTGCGCATCGAGAAATGCTTCCATCCACAGCCCTTTCCCCGACCTGGCCCTACTGCGATTTGCAAAGACAGCATCGGATGGAGAAGTTAGGTCGATCGCGGCCGAGTATAAGTCGATGGCCCTATCAAAATGGCTTGCAGCGAGGGCAGCATCTCCGCTGGTAAGAAAGAGCGCGCTGCATTTTTTTGTGAAAGCTGAGTCAAAATGGGGGTGAGGATTGTAGCCTGCGTGACATTACGAACTCCAGACTTGCCATCAGACCATTCAAGGCAGCTGGCCTTCATTATTTCGTCAGTATTTTCCATCATATATCGGTATGATTTGACGGCATCTTGAGGTTTACCTGCCCGAAGGAGTGCATCACACCGTTTCTGGCTTGCCTTTTGCCACAAGGACTGCAGGTCCCAGCCAAAGAGCTGGACAAGATTCAGTTATAGAAAGTATCGTGTAGGTATCATCTTAACGCACCACTACCAAATCCTCGTAAATCGCATGAATGTCCGATTTTGATGAGAGAGCGCCGGAGTTGATAGCAACAGTGAAATGTTCAGCGGCTTCGTCGTAATGTCCGCCATCCAAGGCTTTGATTCCGAGTTGAACACGTAGATATGCCTAATGTGCGAGTTGCAAAATTAGTGTTTGATGACCCTGCACGGCTCCATGATACTTACTTGTACAATATGACATGCGCGAGTATCGGCATTCGGACAACCGGCAGCGAGTTCATCGAGAAGGAGGTTTGCCTCCTCATGTTGATTTGCATTGAAGAGGGAGATGGCCTGAAATACGTGATGAAGTAGAGAGTATGCGAGGCAACTGTAACATACCTTGATCAAGAGCAGGAAATAAATGGTTTCTGAATCTTGGTCCGTGTACACGGATGCAGCATCAAATGCTGCCCTTGCACCCTGGATGCGGTCTTTTCCGCAGAGGGCGATTCCCTTGGAGATATAGCGTATCAAGGAGGGCTGAATGCTGATGGACTGTGTTATCATCCAGTTAGCCTTTTGTATGAGGGCCACGATCAGTGCGTATAACTCACCCTCATTGCATCCTCGAGGGCGGGGTCCCAGTCGTGGTTTCGGGCTAAAACGAATGAGCGATGGGCGTGGGCAGTGTGGTTGTTCGCATCAGTCTTGATGTCTTGCGTGAGTAGTTCTTTGGCGGTGGACAAGTCCCCGTCTATGCATGCAATGCGGGCTGTCGTGATGGCTAGGATCTGCACCAAGCATGGTCAATTCGAGTATATGAGTCAGCGACGACAGCATGCCTTTGAATGAATACCCTGAGGTGCCCACTCTGAGATCATCTTATTGCCACCTCCGCTGAGAATGTGGTTACCGTCCACAGAGAAAGTGACGCATGCCGGCGTGGAGGATGTGTGCTTGAAGACGGCAAAGGTTCGTCGATCTGAGAGCCGCCAGAGACGGACATGTCGGTCATCAGATGTGGAGGCAACGAGTGTGCCAGCAGGATTGACTGCAATAGCTGTGATGGTGCTAGTGTAACCGGTCCAAGGATCACCGACCTGCTGCCAGGTGGATGTATCTTATTCGCGTATGGTAGGATCGTCCTTACGGCCGCCTGTGAGAAGGCGTGTGCCATCGGGCGTCCACACGAGTGACAAGTTATCACCCTTGAAGGACGCGATGCATTCCCTCGTGCTTGGGTTATAAATTTTGATGACGTCTGTTCCGATGGCAAGAAGTTCTCCAGATGGCGAATACTGTAAGCAAAAGACAAAATCATTGCATTTTAGACCTCCTTGTTTGTGCCAGGTTTGGGTGTTCCATAGCTTCATCATTTTGTCCCTTGAACCAATGGCCAGCACTCTCCCATCGGGAGAAAAGTCAAGCGAGTCGATATAATTGGAGTGGGCTCTGATATTAGAGAGCGATTCGCCAGTTTCTCCGTGCCAGACGATGACCTCTCCGTTAAAATCACCGCTTGCTATCAATTTCCCATCTCGTGAAACCACCAATCCCGTTACCTCACAGCGGTGCCCCTCCATCTTCTTCAACACTTCACCTGTCTTCAAGTCCCACAGACGAAGCGTCTTGTCGTTCGAGCCCGTAACCATCCGTAGTTTATCTGGGAACACTGTGACTGCCCTTATGTGTTCCTCATGGCCTTTGAACTCTCGCAGGGGTATGGTGATGGGAATGAGCTCCGACATTTTACTGGAGGTCAATGGCGTTGGGCGCGGCCGAGGTGAACTTTGGAGGGATCGTGGGTGTCCTTCTCTAAGCTGTAGAGGTGCGTGTGTCGTGCGTTTCATGCTGCTTTCGTAGACGCTCAAGTCCCAGGACACGAGGCCGTTCCGCCCGTTCACCTCCATCACCGGTCCGACAACAACAAGTTCTCCAGACGGTGCTGTATGCAATTGACACGCCCATCACACTCGATTGTATTTCCTCGCTGCTGCCAGGATTTGGTGTTCCACAATGTTGTCATTCTGTCATATGAACTTCCGGTGGTCAGCACTGTTCCATCGGGAGAAAAATCCAGCGAATAGATCCAATGAGCGTGGGCTATTTTGGTGAGTGATTCGCCACTCCGTACCAGACGATGACCACTCCGCCTTTGTCACCGCTTACAATCAATTGTCCATCTCGTGATACCGCCAATCCCCGCACGCCATGTTTATGCCTCTCCATCTTCTTCAACACAACACCGGTCTTCAAGTCCCACAGATGACGCGCCATATCGTCCGAGCCCAGGGGAAAACTGCGACTGCCGTCACGGTCGCCCAGGCCCAGGCTTCGTGACCTTTGAACTCTCGCAGGCGCGTGGTGATGGTGATTGAGATGAGCCCCGACATTTTTACTGGAGGTTATGGTATTGAGCACGGTCGAAGTGAACTTCAGAGGGAAAATAGATGTCTTTCTTCAGAGGTGTGTGTTTTGCGGTTCAAAATATACATAACTGCATTCGCCCTGTTTCGTTTCAATAGACGTCTGGGACACTTTAGTCTGTTCACTTCCACGCCCCCATCACCGTTACAGCAAGAATGCCTCTATTATACCCCCTGACAGTATGCATTCCCAGCGCCTCAATGTATACATGCGTTCCACTCTTGTCTTCAAATTCAGAATATATCCAATCACATCCTATCGAGAAATCGGTGCTTCCCAGCGCTCGAATCCGACTATCTGTCCTTTATGACCGCATGCATATAGCTTACTGCAATATCATCCCTTCATCCCGCAGACTTCCAGGACCTGTTTGCGCACCGCATGCCGCCGAAGTTCTCCCTCCTGGCGCCTCTAACTTATCATTAATTCTGTCACGAAGGAACGCTTTGCCTCCAGTGCTCTTCTCATGATTCATTTCTATTTCGAGCCCCTCCCACTCCCGGTCCCACTGGATACGGTTCTCTCATTCCCCAATTTCCCTCACACAATTTCCCTCACAAGTTCATAATATTGCACCGCACAAGTACCAGTGCAACATGGTCGCTAACCTTGATGCTTGATGGGCCATCACCACAGATGCTACGCAAGGCCTGCATTCAAAAGGATTGTAATTGCGGGTGTTTCGGAATGCCACATGCCATGGAATCCATGGTCCCTATATGATTTTTGATTGACTCGTGACTATTCTCGAACTTGAATGTCTTGTACTACCTGCAGAAACTTCGACATCGACGGTCGCCTCCATGTTTGCAGTCTGTAGCGTGTAGCTCGCAGGGTAAATTTCTATAAACTTCAACTTTAGGCTTTGCAGCGTGACTCAAAGGTTAACCGGTCAACTCTGGATGTTCCTTGCAAACCTGAAACATGTGAGGGAAGGTGCTGAAGAGATAGGCTTATTGAGCATATGTACTAGTGACACGAACCACTGCTAGATGCCGTGACAGCAGATTATATAACATCAGCCAGCGCAGATCAAACTCGGAGCCGCGCTTCAATATTTCGGCTTGGTACAGCTTGAGAATACTGGATTACTACTGGATATGAAGCCTTCTGATAGATCGTATTAGACAGTGCACTCATCCGCAGTACTCTGCCCCGTGCACCTATGAGCTGCGCCGCGGCAACATCGTGGCACCCGGGACCTGTCAATGAACGATACTAGTAACTGGGCAATTTGAATCTTCGAAACTTCACACCTAACATTCAACACACTTATCCATAAACGACGCTTGGGCCCGACTATCATTCATCTGGCCGTGATCCACCGCGACTTACTTCAAGCACTCTTGGCAGCGTTTGGTCTACCATGAGTCTAGACCAAAATCTCTTCACACTCCTTCTGACACCAAATACCTCTGACTCGAGTGGACTCGTGACCGACCTCACCGATCCTTCGGGGAGCGTACACTACCGCAAACGACGCATACCCGGGCAAGTCTATAAAATCGAGGTGTATGGTGCGTACGTCGCCGATCGAGACTGATCGAGCTGAGCCTGTGGCAGACCCCATTTCAGAATCCTTGCTCGCCTCTGCTACGTCTCCCAGCGCCACGAGTAAACATAAGACGATAGAATTGTACAATCCCTCCAAGGTCATCGAGCTGAAATATACCGGCACCTTGTCTTTCCGATGGTCTTTCAAATGGGAGGAGTGAGTTCCTGAATAGAGCAGCTGTCATGCAAACTCAGTCACGTTATGACAGACATGAATTTGAGTGGAAACGAGAGGAGTGTTTCATGATCAGAAAGCCCGACCCACCTGTTATGGTTGCGATCACCAAGGAGCCTCCGGGTAGAATAAAAACAGCATCCGTCCAGATTCTAGATTACAATCTCAATAGGTGAGCTATAGATCGAACGTGAGAGTTCCCGTGGCGTAACTGATGAGTGCAAACAGGTTTGATATAGATGATCGAAAAGGGCTGGAAATCGTCATCCTGACTGCATTGCTTACCTTTCAAGATGCTAGTGATCAATATCACCAGTCACCCAACGACAACAACGCGACATCATCACCTGCTGCTCTTGCTACAGCTACTTCAGCTCTAAAATGCTTTACAGAGAAGACTGCGCGAAAGGTGTCAGGGGGACCTACACCTTCTCCACCAGTCCCACCACCAAAACCCGCCCCAAAAACAGGTGTCGAAAGGGTTGCCGAAATCCAGGCATCCACTGGCAGAGGCGAAGTTAATGAAGTGTTCGTCGTTGACGAGTGTTCCGTCAAAGATTACGCGCGATATTGTGCACGGATGCTGCAGGTGCGTTAGCGGTGCTCGCGAAGACAAAGACAATGACGAGTCCGATTCCAGGACGAAGCGATGCTTTTTATCTCCATACGCTCTGCAGGCGCATCCCAGGTTCCCAAAGTGTTGCAAGTAGTCGAAGAGACGAAACGCTTCCGCCACAAAGCGGGTAAGTTTCTAGGCTTATGGCCACTTCGTTTCCTCAAGCCGTGTAGGTCATGAACAACTTCATCAATATGTTCTGTATGATACGGCACAGATACCACGCAGGGGTCCGACAACGATTAATCTGGACGACAACAAAGACAAAGCAAAGGGCAAGAATTATACTCCGCCGAGCAACATCGTAGTCCATCTAGGTAAAATCGATATGCCCGAGTTACAGCCGAGGAGAACTGTTCCCATACGCCCCGGAGAAGGACGGACGGGCACACCAAAAGAGCGAACAAAGGATGGGAAGAACAAAGATTCTCACAAGGATAAAGAAAAGAAAGTAAAAGAGTCAAGCGACAAGGAACGAAACGAAAGAAAGAAGCGTGAGACAGAGCACGCAGCGGCGAAGGCAAAACTTAGATCAAAATCTAGCGCGCCTGCACTCGCTTCTCATTTCTCTTCACATCAGGCGTCGACATCACAGCGGCCTCACATACATCCACACCAAATGCATCTACACAACTCATCTCCGCCGCAGTCTAACCGGCCCGCCAACCATTCGGCTCCTCCACTGCCTCCCCGCATGCCTGTGCCGCACCGTGTAGCTCCACCATCTAACCGGTACTCGACATACGGGACATACCCGGTGTCATACCAGGTCCGGTATTCATCCAGCCCTCAACGTTTAGAATCCGCCGTTTCTCCATCATCGCCGTCACCTTCCCCAGCCACAGTGCTAGCCAGATTACTCGGGAGGTGAACAGGTCGACCTTTCGCTCGATTACCGGTACAGTCGGACGATATATTGCGGCTCAGAATCTAATTTATGACCAGCTTTTCCAATCGCAATTTCAGACCCATGGACACGTATGTTTTAAACTCTGCTTGATACCTCACAATCACAGCCTCCTTCCAAATCCCACAACATATATGTATGTAACTTATACGACCGCTGATAGTAATACGCCGTCGTTGACAGTACGAAAAATATACCACATCCGTCTCCCGGTGGGACCAACGACATACTTTCGCTTCCGCACACTGCCTTGAGAGTGATTAAAGCGCCCGCGACATTCGTGTCCACAGTCGCCAATAAATGCTGAGAACGCCCGGATCATGATCATTACGTTGGACAGCCAGTCGGTGAAGTCACGAGGTCCGGGCGTACCTAGATCGCCAAGTTCAAGGTTGTCTCATTCATACGGCATGGCCCACAGTCATTTTGATGCAAATTAAACTCTGCTCTTATGCAACCCTGGTGTTCAAAACACGAGCCCATCTAGGCACGACCTGCTTTATTAGGCTTTATTGCTAACCATGGACTGCTGCACCGCATCGGATTCAAACTGTTCCGTGACCGTCGATGCCATCGATGTAACGTTCGTGGGCGCACCTCGTAGCGAGCGTATCCAGGCAGAGCACGTCAATATAGTACTAGTGTGACCCGCGACGTGCGGAAACCTCTAGAGAAAGAAAAGAGTTCGGAATTGATGTAGATCAGATACTAGTTATTTTCCCAGGAAATGGTAAGAATGGTCCAAAAGTGTGGATGAAACCGGTTTTCCGTTCCGCAGGCAGGGTCCATTCTTTTTCGCGATGTCCATGTCTGACGTGAATCAACGCTGCGGAGTCTCGGTAGTCTCAGACACAGGTACTGTCGACAGTCGCATTGCGTGGTGAACAATTGGACTAAACAATGTATCGTAAGATGTCGTACGTTGCTATGCTCTTGTTACTGTACTATGTAGTAGACGTTGGTGTCATCGTGTTCTATCTCGATTGCTTGGCATTGGGATGTAGTCCGAGCACAATGGAGGTAAATCCACCAACTGATGGGCCCTGTACATCCAGTAACAGATCTAGAACCAAGATACATGACTCCTCAATTGAGAGTCGTGGATGGGATCAGAAAGTCAACATATCATGTGTGTATGGTCAATCGCTAACTGAGTGCATGTAATGAGTAGAGTACAAGTGTTGAATAATGAACATGAAAGAAAAATTGTTCGACCGCGGTATACTAAAAGGCTGTGGGTATTCATAGATAATAAGTGATCGTGTAGATATACGCACAGACGACACATCCCGTATGCTTGCACCGCAAGATATGATATTGGAATAAGAATGTTCTAGGATATGCGCAGCCTGAGGTGGGATTCACCATATGGAAGAGCTGTCTCATGAGACTCCGCCGATCTCGATGAAGCTCCGCCAATTCCATGATAGATCATCGTCTTTCAGATCGATGAAACTTTTGAGGGGAAACCATGTATCGACAGTGCTTCTTCTCTGGCGCTTCGCGGGCTTCGATACTGAGACTGAACGAGGCAAAGTGACTTGTTTTTGGGAAAGATGTTTGGAAGGTGGGACGATCACATCTCCTTCATCTTCGATATCTGCAAAGGAGCCAAAATCCTCGACTTGAATGAAGGGAGTGTTCCCTAGTGACGAAAGTGCCTTGGCTTCCTCTTCCTCATCGTCGCTCATGCTCATGAAATTTTTTCTGAGATTCGATCTCGGGATGCGGTTAGCAGCACGGGAGCGGCCCTCAAGACATGCCAGAGCGTCCATGCGACTTTTTCGCCTTTGATGTGATGTGATAGACGAGGAATACAGGGATGATCCCTTGCCTGACGGGCTAGTGGGCGATAACAGGGGAGTCGAAAAAGATGCGTTAGTCGCAGACGAAAGTGGCTTTCGTGGAGAGGAGCGCGGGGGGCGATCAAGGGAAGTTGGGGGCTCGGGTAAGGTAGATGATACCGGAGCAGGTTTAGGAGAAGGAATTTGCCTTAAAGATTCACGGGACGATCGGTGGAGCGTGCTTGCGGAAGGTAATGGTGGAAGACGGGCAAAGGCGGGTCTTTGGATTCGTCTTTAGATGGGAAAAGTCAGTACGATGAGAAAATGAGAACAAAGGCTAAACTTACGACAAGTCATGAACTGAGGTTACATCGGATGTATAAGTCCAACTAGTAGACTTTGACATGACTGACGGCTTGCGCCTGTGACTTGCAATCGGACGATTGGAGTCTGCCAGGTCGAGGGAGAGGAATGACCGAAGTTCAACGGTATCTCTTTGTCCCATTTGAAGGGTGAAATAGAAAGCGGAGGCATGATCATCAGCAGCAGCAGGATGTGACTTGTAGGATGTGCCCGTTGAAGTTGAAGGGACGACCGGAAGGGCGGTGCTGTGTGCAGACGAGAGACCCGCCCGTCGCTCCGCTAGAAGACCCAAAGTGAAAAGTGGGGAATATGAAGAGTGCATGACCGAAAAAGACAAGAAAAGCAAGTGTGCACGAAGACAAAAGCACGAGGGCACAGAAAACAAGAGCGTTGAAACAATCGCCCTTTATAATGAAAATGCAATGCGTCGTCACGAGTGATCGAATCGGGAGGCTATATTTGGATCCTACCCCTTCCTTTGTCACATGTTCATAATTGGACTGCCGGCACGTTGCCCAACCGAAATTATGAGTTCACACGGACTATTATGTAACCAGACGGCGCCGAGATCGAAGCTTTTGCAAAACCATGATTATCAGACTACAGAACCTTTGTACCAAACGTTCATTACATTGTATCCATTCAGGTTATGTAAATCTCTGGAGAAACGTTCTTCACAGTCGAGACACAACCCAAAATCACATCGGACAAACGTAGAACACCGTTTTGCTTCCGCGGGATCTATATCGAGTCACCCCTGTAGACTCGCATGTATCTGCCATGCCATGGACACGTCTATCCTGAACGCCAAGCGGACAACACCATCCGGTCTTGGTAGTCCAAGGATCGAAGCTATGTGTATCGTTCCAGACCCATCAATCATTCACTGACACCGCGAAACAGCTTCGCCTCTTGAGTGGGAAACAGCGCTCGTTGTACATGTGCCGATCGATATATTTTCGACTGAAGTGCCGAGCCTGCATCAGACCCTACTCCATACTGGCAGTTATATTTTGCCTAAATCGAATCCCCCTTGCAGTCGTTATGGGGATGTGCTCGAGGCAGCTATCTTCCACGTGCAGGGTTCATACGTATGCAAGCACTTATGTGATTTCATTACCACACAGCATCGCCTAGACCTGTGATAGCGGCCTGGCAGTATTAATTATGATTGTGTTTTTCAATCGTTCATATCTCAAATACTTTATGTAACAGACCGCTCATGTTTGATGTCGAAAGCCAGCGTAGCACTCATTGTCCTGCAAATCTCCCACGCAATCCATGCACTCCGCGTCATTTCCTTGTATCCACCCAAATCAGCACTGCCACCGCTTGGGTTGCACGCGATCAACCGACCCGGCGATGCCCCGAAGACAAGCGAGCACATCTTGAATTTTGCCACGTTCGTTGATGAGTCGGAGTACCATCACTCTTATTTGCAAAGTGCAACTCATACGAGTTCTTCCGAATCAATCACTCGTAACTTGCTCGACAGTCTCGAGGGCTAAGCGTTCGAGCACTCGGATCTCTCGTGTCTTCCTATAGAAGTGATTGGCCAATTTCACGTACCTGTGCGTGAATCATGTAACCTCAGAAACAGATGAGCGCTGGGCGCTGCATAACCTGCCACAGAAGAAGTTGCCGCCCCCGGTACCACGTGGGAGGCGACATGGCAAGTCGTATGCTCGGCTTAAATGACTGTCGGGTCTCGCCCTCCCGTCTTTCGGAGATCCCTTCTTCCTGCCGGCTTTGTCGACAACCGATTTGACTGCGGGTTTTTAACATTCTCCGATGCTTATGGACGTTCGACCGGAGTGACTCGGCCAGCCAGCAAACCCATATGTTACGATAGCAATATCGTCGGAAATTTGTCGCTTGGTTTTTCGTCGATCCGCAAACCTATCACACATCACCACACGTGGGTTTAACTATTTACGACCCTTGGATCAATCTTCTTCCAGCAGTCTATCTAGGCAGATACAGATGTCTCAATCCACCGTTGTCTCGGACGTCAAGATTAAATCACCGTAGCTTGGCGATGACTTGTAACATTCGATGTTGCAACCCGAACGTGGAGTCGAGGATACTCCAGGCTCCAGCTGGCTGGACCTACAAATTGGCCATGTATGTGTACCGGCGACTTGAGATTGCCTCGACGCCAACTCCATTCAGTTCCAAACCCCATCTGACACGTGAATGGTACTGCGTGAGTGCGCGCCAAGTTATTTTCAACCACATGTCGAGCTATGTTCTTCGCCGTCTCGCCTCATGGCCTAAAATATTAATTTCACTCGCGTCATGGCATGCGAAACACGTTCGCGAATCTGTCCGCTGTGGTTAACGCATCCCCTTCACTAAAACCATCGTTTCTTTTACAGTAACCAAGCGATGGCCGAATTTCACTTCAGGCCTATTAAACTCGATGTTCTTCGTCAGTGGGTTCTGTTGTCTTGGTCACACTCTAGAACGATATCGAATGTAGTAATTGTCACCTCGATGAACGTTTGAACGATATCATGCAATGTCCGATATTCTCCGATACTGTATTATCGCTCCAAATCTAAATTTAATAGTTCACAAGTGTCCAGATAAGAGTGCCACCCAACGGAACATCTCAACAACATCTCACCAATATCGTCCGCGGGCTGTATAGTACAAGCACCCCTGAAAATAGGTGTGGAGGCATTCGGACGAATTGTACTCAAAATTAGGGTCTACCCCAGACAGGGTGCTCTCACTTTTTGGTCGACGCCCGGATCCTTTACCTGGGCAGAACTTAATGTCCGTGGTGGGTCGGAGTACTTACTGGTAGATAAAGTATGCCTGCCAGTTTTTGACACTCTTGCGCTGGCTCGATGTTTTTGGATCATCCCCACCACTTCATACTCGTACCTTTTCACGCTCCACGATTACCCTGCAGCTGTCCGCATAAAACCGAATTCCCAAACAAATGTTGGAAAATTTGCTTATCCGCGAACACGAACCATCAAATGCGTATCAATATTCAGGGGTCCTGCTGTACTGACTTGTCTGATTGTCAGAGCCTCGCACCCACACCGGGACTGTTTGTCGATCGAAAGTACATTATAAGAAACTGTGAGATCATAAATCAGTATGGTGCTCCAGGGTGCTTCTCAACGTGCGGGTTTACGCACTACAGAAGCCGATATACTTGCGTATATGCATGATCATTCTTGCAGTTGAATACAGTTATCGAAGCAACAGGGTCCGGGCGAGTTCAGACTTTTCGGTTTTTGCCTCGGTGGCACACGTGTGAGGAAGATGGTGTGGTATTGGTCGTAACGCGATCGTGATCTATTGCATGCCAAAAAAGAGCGATGGAGTGTGCCGGGTAGAGATAGCAAGAGGGAATAAGCCAAGTACCAAAAACTGTATACCGCCGAGAACATCTATCGTGTGTCCTCATGCCATAAGTAAATTAGACGAGCAAATAAAAAAGGGCATGTAGATACAAGTGCGCAGTCTACTTGCCACCGGTGGTGCCAAGACCCATCGATGCCTTGAAGGAGTCGTAGATCCACCATTGGAAGCCTTGATGAACGAGGTTGGTTAGTGATTTGAAAGCAGTACAAAATTCACGTACCAGTGAGAGTACCGATCATCAACACACGGGTGCCAAGACCCTTGGTTGCAAGTGTGACAATGCCAGTTTCCTGATGCGATAGTGCCAATGCTTTTGCCCTTGTTTGCAGGCTTGCCCATGAGGGAGACCACGGTGTCAGCCGGATGGGAGACAACGGCGCAGACAACACCAGCGAGATAACCAGAAGCAAAAGTGACACCAAGTTGAGTGGTCTTCGCATACGTCTCTTTAGGCTCAGGGAAGACGTGAGTGTAGAAGAGCTGGACGATCTTCTCATAGAAGCAGAACTTGGCCATGGTGTAGGGAATCTATTACGTCATAAGTAAAATGCAATCAGAACCAAAACAACACAGCTAACCTGACGAGACCATAGAGGAACAAGGGAGCCGAAGGGGTAGCGGGTCTCAGCCTTTGTCCTGCTCATCTCCGCAAGGGCGGCACCGAATGAAGTGGGGAATGTGCCACTAGGGCTGGTTTGGATCTTGACCTTGGTCATCTCGAGAGGGCAGAGAGCGATGTCGGCAAAGACCTCTGCTGATGCGGAACCAACGAGCCAGATAGCAGGCTTGTATTTGTTAGACAGCTCCTCGCCAGCCAAGTTCATGTACTGGTCCTTGAACACTTCATAGAGACCGTACTTGAACATGCCTTGTAACGAGTAACCGACAAAGGTGGGACCGAGGCCTTTCCAGATACCAGTCCGACCTTCCTCGCGAACGAGCGTGGCGAGACCAGACGAGAGGCCCTTGTATTTGGCAGGGTCCACCTATTCACAACAGCCATGAGATACCACGGAGCGAGGAAGAGCTAGATAAACCGACCTGCATGTTACACTTGGCCACATCTAGAGGTGTGATGCCGGCGTGAGTGATACCGCATGCAAGAACACCACCGAGCATGCACTTGGCATAGTACGTAGCGTCATGAGGTACGGGACCAATGTATCTTCAAACCAGGACGAGATCAAAATTCAACCCGAGATAACACCGAAAATAAGACAAGAAAGATACCTTGCGTCCCATTTACCAGTTGGTGCTAGATGCGACATCGTTTATTATTTTAGAAAATCCCTAGATGAGAAATCTATGAGAGACCTTGACCGGAGCCTTGAGCCTGTCCGAACAAGCGCCGGAGTCGGAGGTCGAAGTAAGAGAAACAGGTGTGCAGACTGACCCAAATTTCATCAAGTTAAATTTAGGTTGGATTCGGCTTACATCGGCTTCATTAGTAGCATCGTATTTGTGATGTGAGTTCTTGTCTCCATATCTCATCGACTTTTCGCCGAGCTTACTAAATCACCTCTTGCTCACTAGCGCTCACCACGAGCACTGCAGCTACGCTTACAAACGAACCGATGGCGACGGCAGGCATTGCGGCAGACGTGTGACAAAGTGCGTGAACTCTTAACTTTTCTGCGCGGTAACTTTCCGCCGGACTCAACAAGTAAGAAAAACTAGCAGATGTTGTACTTTCGATGTCAGGTTATCGAACTGTCAAAGAATTAAAATATCATGTTTGTGCGTTGTGGAGTAATAGACGCTACCCCCCAAAATGCGCGAACTTTGGTAGACGTCTACTAGTATTCCCTTCCATCATGAGGTTCATCTTCTGGCTGAGGTACATGGTCAAGACAGCTGCATTTCGTTCGTACAGGGGTCTCTTTCATGTCTTCCTGCGATTGATCCGATACTGCCAATCTATCGTGAATGGGAAGGAGGAAGATTTCCGACAATGGCCCGGCGGTTTAGCATTGAGCTCTCAGCTAGGGACCAACCAACCTGACTTCCAGCCGGCGCCTCCTGTGAGCCTCGCAGTGCCGTTGCTCGAGGCACCTCCACATAGTCTACTCAGCCGAGGATCCCAGCCTCAAACGGATATCCAGAATCTTCAGGTGCTGACTCCCGGCATCTCCGAACTAATTATCACCACGCCAGACCAGATGTTTGATATCACTCTTATTCCCATTACACCACTTGAGGTCAACCGACACGGGAGGAATGTGCGAGTGTACGCAAATTGTATTTCAAGCGAGTGGGCGAAGTCCTGATCCATACTACTTGCAGTAAAGATGAGTACGAGGCTTTCTTGGTCGAGAAAGGTCCTTTGGATTGTTCAGAGTAAGCATGCCGGCGAGAGAATGAGCGATAAGATTGAAATGGACTCGCAGGGAGCTTGCTCCGGTAGCGGGATGGGAGCCGCTCACGCAACCAGAAGGGGCTATGATCTTCTATCAGCCATATAAAGTACGTCTAACCCCCGCTACTAGTACATGTATTTACTCAAATTACACACCAGAGAGTTTTCACGGATGTTGATGTTCGAGATCCTCAAATTATAGTCAAAATTGACAAAGCTGTTGAGAAGGCGTATCATGAAGCGCGCAACGCGAGCATCCCCTTGGATCCATTCGTCGAGCTAGGGTTAGAGCTTATTGTGAAGGACGGTGAAGAGATGTGGGGCTATTACTTTGTTGACCATAAAAAACGTGTCATTTTCTGGTTCGAAGATCACAGATCCGATTCTCTCATGAGCCGCATCCGAGGGGTAGAGCGAAAAAGTCATATCAGTAAGTTCTTTCCGTGGAATTCTTTCCATTCAAGCTCCTGTGATCGTAACATCCCCAGAGTATGCACTAGAATCACAATACTGGTTCGTATAATCTCAAGTACGTATATTCCCTCACTTGACCGAAGTCAATGGAACCACTTTGCAACAGCTCGTTTGTGTTTCGCATGATTTACATACTACGGCATTGGCAGGCGACACATTGAGCTATTTCCAAACAGACGCTTCCTTCCGGAAGACATTGTTGTGGAACTCAAAGAATTCGTCATGTATGCTCAGGCAGGTGGGCGAAGACTAATAAGTGTCTCATGCCTTACAGGATTGATTGGTGATAGACAATATCACTTCTCAAACATCGGTAGTACCATTTACTTCGGACGAGATCGCAAGTATTCTCAGCCTCGTCCATCTTCTTAGAAGTGAGTTGATCCCTGTTTGTGGGATCGTCGTTGATTGTCTTTTCACAGAGTGCTAACAAGAACCGCGAGCATTCCGTGTGGATCGCAGGTAAGTCCAATCATGGACGGTCGGTTGTTTGTTTCTGATGTGTTTACTGATCTCAGCTCGAATCATGAAATATCTCTGTGAGCTTCATCCAGTAGTCCGCTATCCACATTTCCTGATTAATTTGCTAGGCGAAACTAAGTTCGTGAATTTCTATGGGTAACCAGGCACCCGACTTGACGTAGAGAAATCGTTGTACGGAAAATCCGATGCCCCCAAAACCAAGCTTTCTCGTACCATTAATGCTATGATCGGAAGATGGCAAGAGAGCAAGGCCTTCCACAAAGTATGGGTCGATGGAAGGATCGTTCATGCGCGGTGGGAGCAGTACATGGACAAGCTGAATAGCGATTGGAATGGATATACGATATTTGTGAGTTGTTCTACTTCATATTGTTCTCATGGTTAATGACTATCTCAGTCTACTGTGATGGTTGCTGTTGATGTCAGCTTTCTCGCAGTCCCATCCGTCCAGACTCAAGATGAAGTGATCATACTACTTTACACCTCTACCTTCTCCGCCATGTGCTCGTTGCTCATTACGCTATCGCTGGTTACACAAGTTAATGAGCAATTACGAGGCTCCAATACAGCCGTGGTATGCTCATCTTTCCACTCGTTTATCCTATATTATTTACGCTCATAGGTTTCTTATCTAAGCAGTATGGCGGCGGGTTCTGTGCTTGACTCGGAAAGCTTTCCATTTATGCTCAGTCTGCCGTTCGGATTTTTGGTGCTTGAGTAGGTTCCCTGCCACGTTTCATGTCAGCGGCTTATTGTTCGACAGAGTGTCCTGCTTCATTTCAGCACTGCTGTCTGCGATTATCGGCACTTTTACCTTTCCTGTCAACATCATTATGTATGTAGTATTGATGGAAATGGGCATTCTAGTATCTTGGCTTCTACGTTCTACAAGTGTTACTTTCGTTTGGGACTTGCTGTGGTACTTGCTTCACATGTGGTACCGGAACACGAGCCGATTCATTGTATACTTGTGGAACAGGATCATAGAACGAGTGTCGCCTACGGTCACTACCCCCTTGGAAGTCTAATTTGTCTTCTGTGATTTTCTGTAACGCGCGAGCTTTATAGTATCATTCTGGTTGATTTATGCCATACTCTTTCCCTTTCGAAGATCTACATATACACAGGATACAAATATCAATGTTATATATCAACGTTTCAACTTCGGGTTTATTGCTGCTAGACACGGACACACCGGCCGGCGGTTTCGGGGTTTTCCCTCAAGCAAAATACTGGAATAATGGCAAATTTCGGCTGAATCCGGCTTTACTTCGGCTTCATTAGTAGCATCGTATTTGTGATGTGAGTTCTCAACCGCGTCTAGATCTCCATATCTCATCGTTAAGCATCTGATTTCTAAGGCTTTTCGCCGAGCTTACTAATTCTCCTCTTGCTCACCATGAGCGCTGCAGCAAACTAGTACTACGCTTACAAACGAACCGATCGCGACGGCTTCAAGTTGCGCACGTCCACGTCACATCTGTTGCAGATGTCAAATCGCGGGAAGTAAAATAACACACCGAGGTGAATATTCCCTCTTATTACCCGGTCACACAGTCAGTGAACAGAGCATTTCGCAGGTTTCTTTACTACAATGCCTGCTACCACGGTTCAAGACTCTGTGCCAGAGCATCACAGACTTGCCAAAACGAATGGAGCCAACAATGGCTCCATTAGTCCTGCTTGGATCCCTACCCAAGTAGAAGATATCACACTGAGAACCACTGAATTCTCCTTTGATACAGTAGAGGACGCGCTTCACGCATTCGCGCGTGGTGAAGCTATTGTCGTTATGGATGACGAGCGAAGAGAGAACGAGGGTGATTTAATTATTTCTGCGAGCCATTGTTCCGTGGAGGCCATGGCATGGATGATCAAGCACACCAGGTACGAGTCCTTTGCACCCATGCATTCCGTCTTCATATCTATTTTAGCGGATATATCTGCATCTCTCTTCCCGAGGAGCGTCTCAATGAGCTTGAAATTCCCATGATGGTTCCCGAAAACCAGGAGCGGCACAAAACTGCGTACACCATAACCGTAGACTACAAACATGGTCTGTTCTTCTTTCTCTGAAGTCCATGCCACGATTAAACGAGCACGCTTATAGGCACAACGACAGGCATTTCCGCCCATGATAGATCTCTCACCGTGCGGAAGTTAGTCGATCCCACTTCGACTGCATCCGATTTTAGCCGCCCAGGGCATATGGTACCTTTGCGAGCACAGAACGGCGGCGTCCTAGAACGCAGAGGTCATACGGAAACTGGTGTCGATTTATGTACCCTCACCAATCAGCCTCTAGGAGGAGTGCTATGCGAGCTCGTGAATGACGATGCGTTGGGCACTATGGCGCGACGCGATGATTGCCGATCATTTGCCAATCGATGGGGCCTGAAAATGATCAGCGTGGATATGTTGGCACAGTACAGAAAAGCGACGGAGAGCAGGAGTACTGTGACATCATGACAGATGAAAGGATACACGGGGATATGTACCGGCTAGTGTATACTTAGAGAGCATTGTACACTGGTGCAAATCAGCCAGACTTTAGACATCCCCTCGGGAATTCCGCGGAAAAACTTAGGGAACCTATTCAAGGTCCTGAGACCGCGGTCTCAAAGATGAGAACATTCCATCTTTGAAGATCGTACCAGCGGCTTGTAACAGTCTTTATTTGATCCCTGAAACCCCCGAAAGCTTGTACACAACATTCCACGACCTATGCAATACCATATGTATGGCTCTGCTGATTTCTGCCAGGTATCCGACCGACGTTTCCCAGAGTCACACTAATCGCCATTCAGAATTTGGGAGAAGCTGAAGCCTGGGTTCTGACTCGCAATATGCCATGCGTGCGCAATTTTGCTTGTCGACACAGGTGAATTTTGTTCTGGGGGCTTGATTGCAGGTTCAGTTCCGAGGTTATATCGGGATGCATGAATGGCCAGATCGAAGCATCATCGACGAACAGGCGTGATGCAGCTGTGCAGATACACTGCCGTGGTCTGTACGTTTCCGTAAACTACAACACTCGACAAACAGACGGTGTGACCTTTCCAAGTACTTGCACCCGAATTGGTACCACGGAGATGTATTTCACATACGTGTGAAACACACTCGAAGTGTCTAATTGTCGTGGCCTTGCGTAGAGTTGGACCAATGCCGAATATGTAAAGGGCGTGTGCACCATGCACATAGGAATGTTGTAATGGAGCATGCGAGTCGTAGAAGCGGCGCGAGGGTATGACTAGGCTTGAATGTCGGATCAGCTGCGGCATGCCGCGAGGGCATGTAAGTAAGTGACAAAGGTATTGGGAACTCGATAGATTTCAGCGCGGGAGAATAGAGTGAAAGATCGGCTAGTGCAAATGTAGCACATAGAACTGGATACGAACGAATTATACGAGAATGAGAGTTACAAGCACAATTGTATTGTGCTGGAAGAATATGAGCCTTGATGTGCGACAAAGTGGGAGGGCTAGGAGAATACGAGATGATGCAGTGTGAGCAACGATATAGCGAGCACGCAGGCGATACAAATCATGAATGAGGTAGAAGGGGAATACAAGACTGGAAGTAATGATGCGTTTGGCGTTTAAGTGATCGCTGTGAGTTTTCCACACCTGAGCGGCAGATACGATAAGAGTTATGAGACTGTACAATTGTCAATCCCCATTAGCATAATTATGCAGCGAGCCAACAAGCGATCCTGCCAGGACCTGCCACTGTCGTGACAGCAGATGCGACGGATCGCACCCTATCCATTGTCACTTGAACTGTCACAAGGGAATATAGCGGATGCTGACGTGGGAGCTGTGGGGAGACAAGCACACTACCAAGAAGGGCGACTTCAACATGAAACTGTCGAGTTAAAGCAACAAGGGTGGACGAGGCTTACATAAATGCAAGTCAAACGCTGGCTTATCAGAAAAAGGAAATCATTTCAGGCACTGATCGTGCCTGGACCTGACAAAGCCTAACCCTCCCCGACAAATCCAAAACACACAGGAATCCGATGCAATGTACATGACTGTAGTTGACAACTAGTATAAATCAAGGTGGGCAAAGGAGGCTTGTGAGTTTATCAATTACTGTAACTTACCACCAGTACTACTAACTGTGTATTACGCCTGTACCTGCCAGAACTGTTTGACGCGTGACGACGGATCAATATTTTAAACTCCGAGGACTGGTATGACAAGGTCTTTGTGTCGCGCCTGGGACTTCAGCAGTTGTATTCTGGACTTCTTCCACTAACTCCAATTTTTGACAAGGCATTTGCATCGCACATTCACCACGTCAGTGTGGGCCAGCCTAGCCTCAATACGCGTATCCACTTCATGGACCTCAGCTACTAGCACAACCTCGCTACTCGTGAGAGCTGCTCTGCGATCTCATGTGTGCAACCGTTCTTTACAGTCCCACAGAGTGTCCGTGCTCTTAAATATGCGATTCCGCCCATTCCCACCTCGCACCTCTTCTCCATGCCCAATATTGTTTGTATTGTAGTCCGAACCTTCTCTTAATACACCATTCTCCAGCTCCTCTCATGATGCTACTGTCACTGGCCATCAGTTCTATTATTTTGCTGGCTATCATATCGAATGTGGTTGGAGCACCTCAGGGGTATACGTCATCTGCTCAACAGTTTATATCTTTGACACGGAAGGCGCAACCTTCACGGAACACCTCAGAGTGGGCGGAGTATGCCAAGAACCTGCGGGATGTCACAATTGTGAAGTACTCTTCACAACTTAGTCAAAAGCGGGGAACGGGCGAGAATCTGTATGCTGAACTATCTGATTCGAGTGCGACACTAATCTTTGATTAAAAGGATGGTCAACCAGAGGATCGACACAAAGTATGTCGTGTATTCCACCTCTGTCCAAGTGTGCTCAATTCCTGTAGCTTCTACGGATCCCTGGCTGTTGGTACACCGCCTTACCCATTTGCCGTACTTTTAGACACCGGATCCTCGTGCGTCGTCGACTCACGCGGACACGGACCTATCTAACATTCTTCCCAGAGATATGTGGGTTTCATCGTCGGCATGCCAATCTACATGTGCAGGAACGGGTAATTTTGACTCGGCAAAATCCTCTACGTTTAAAAATATGAGTAAGAGCTTCAGTGTGACCTACGAAAAAGGTTACGCAGCAGGTACTGTCGGGCAAGATGTTGTTCAAATGGCTGGTTTCACGATCTCCGACCAGACATTCGGTGAATTTAACTATTTTGTCGTCATACGACTTGATAGTTAATACTGACGGGTAATAGGGGTGGTGACAACTACCACGGCGAACTTCTTGCAAAATCCTGTCACCGGTATATTTGGTCTCGCGTGGCAGTCGCTCGCAGCCTCTGGTGCTATGCCGTTTTGGCAAGCACTTGCAAGTAATGGACAATGGAATCAACCCTTGATGGCTTTCCAGTTGACTCGGTAATCATATCCCTGTTATGTCCATTTGCTCCAGGGGCACTTACGGTGAATGATTTAGCTTTTTGAATGACAGCAAAGCTGGCGAACTAGAGCCTGGTGGATCTTTCACAATGGGTACGAGAGTAATTCATATCATTCTTGGTGTGTCTCACCTTCGTTTTCAGGATATACAAACGAGAGTTTATATACTGGGACGATCGACTACCAGGATATTCCCAATGGACAAGCCTCGTACTGGCTTCAACAAATTACTTGTGAGCTTCACCGCAATCTTACTCTTTTTGTGTCGCTCAATTACCTTGAAAGCGATAATTGTGCAAGGAAAATCCATATCTTTGCCAAGCGGCAGTGCGTCTTATGCGGCAATTGATACCGGTACGACACTCGTGGCAGGGCCTGCGGCTAGCATCGCAGCCATTTACGCTCAGATCCCTGGATCTCAGCCTGGGACGGGTAGCTGGGAGGGATTCTACAGTTACCGTAAGTACGACATATTTCTCTGGAATCAGGGCACCGAAACTTGATGAAAAGCCTGTAACACTGCTATTATGGTGGAGATCTCGTTTGGAGGGCCCAATTGGTCAATCAGCCCCGGTGATTTCGCATTCACATCTATAGGACCCACATCGGATGAATGCTATGGTGCATTTTACGCAATACCCACATCTGGTGCCAGTGGGACCCCTTCCTGGATTTTAGGCGACACGTTCCTGGTATGCTCTTTTAGCGCAAATACACTTCTGATGATTAATGCCGCGAGACAGAAAAACGTTTATTCAGTTTTCCGGTACGATCCCCCGTCTGTCGGATTCGCGGCACTGTCAGAAATTGCACTTGAAATGAATGGCTTGGCTGGAGGAATACCTTCCGCTACTCTCGGTGCTAACTCAGCAATGTTTACGTTGGAGTCAAGCGCGGCACCCCCAACACGCACCTCTAGCGCAGTTGCAATCGTCATCTCCGCTTTCTTCGCCACCTTGGTTTCATTTGTACAAGCATAATGCTGCGGTTGTGGACATACTGCTGCATTTACAGCACACCTAGGCTGCCAGGCACAGGCTACCGCCGCACAGCCCTCTCGGACCGACATGCAGGGGTGGTGGCTGTGCTCAGAGCGTCATCTGAGACTGATAGCATTTTCACCTGTTGGGCATCGCTAGATGTTGTAATTGTAGGGGCGCATTGATCGCTACAAGAGCACATGATTTACTGTACATGTAGCTGTTCGTCAGACAGGCTCGTGTGTTACCACGTTCCTCAAAATTGTTATCACACACATTTCCGGTTAGCCAGTTACTAGTTACTGCTAATAGCTTTACCAAGGGCCATTTCGAGGCTGTTTTTCACAGCTTTTCACACGCCCTTTGTAAGATGTTCACCCAACTTGCAATTAAAGGTACCGACCCTTGGCGATGTCGGCTGCGGCTAGCTGCGGACAGCTTGTAATGCGCAGTGGTGAGTGTATCATGAACATGTATTTCAGGACAATTGGTTGGTTGGCATCCCATACATTCGTTATTCCCCATTCTCCACTGGCTTGTGGTCTCTCGCCTTGGACATTCTCCGGTAACTTAGCGATCAAAACTCAAACCTGAGTCTTGACATGATACCATTAATCTTTCTTGCATCCCTCCTTGCGCTGCCTACGGATACGTTTGGAGCACCCACAAATGTGGTTCCGGTTTCTGGTCAATCTATCTCCCTTCTAAGGAGGAATCCGTCTCCTCGAGATGCCACCCAACGGGGCGCTTTGGCGAAGAGGCAGAGGGACAATTTGATTGCAAAGTACGGCGGCGCGACAACACAGAAAAGAAGCACTGGTTATAATTCGTGCGTAGTATTGTAGTACGAAATATATTTACTGAGTGCAACTTTCCTTCAGGATTGTCAATCAGGACTACGATTCTAGGTAGGTGTTGGATACGTTCACAGGTGTGCGTAGCTCCCTAATTGAAGTATCCATATAGCTATTATGGTTCACTGGCTATTGGTACGCCTGCGGTGTCCTTTGATGTCATATTAGACACGGGCTCTTCGTAAGTTCCAGTGCAGTTCACGTGTCCGAGACATAATTTAGTAATGCATTTTCGCAGTGATCTCTGGGTCGCTGGTTCTTCTTGTGGTACTTCATGCGGGTCGGTTGCTACATACAACCCATCATCTTCATCAACTTTCCAAAACCTCTCTACGCCATTTGATATAAATTACGGCTCGGGTTCTGCGGAAGGCTACGTTGCACAGGACACAGTGCAAATGGCGGGCTTCTCCGTTTCCAGTCAAGGATTTGGTCAGAATCTCCTCTTACTGACAGGCCCGCTGGCGTTTACTTACATGCACTACAGCTGTTGTGGATGTAGTGTCAACTGGTTTGCTGACATCACCGGTCTCTGGCTTGCTTGGTCTGGCGTGGCAACCCCTAGCAACTTCAGGTCAGATGCCCTTGTGGCAAACTTTAGCCTCCAGTGGTTCTTGGGACTCAGCTCTCTTTGCTGTTCAGCTCACTCGGTGACAACATCTGCCCTCTAAAACGAAGTGTATTGCTAACATGGAACAGGTATACAAATGATTCCAGCGCCCAGACACTTGAGCCTGGAGGAGTCCTTAATATGGGTACGAGACATTCCACACCGTGAGACATCTACTCAAACAAAACTGCGCTTAGGTTACACAAACAGTAGTTTGTACACCGGCTCAATTGATTACATCGATATTCCTGGAACTGACACATATTGGTATCTACCATTGACTTGTAAGCGGTTTACCAACTCACAATAAGTCTCCTCATTCATTCCAATCCAGCGATAACTGTGCAAGGAACCAACATAACTATTGATTCAGGAACAACTGTTGCTATTGACACTGGCACGACCAATATAGGCGGTCCAGCCAGCTCGATTGCAGCAATCTATGCACAGATTTCCGGCTCACAACCAGCCACGGGTGAATGGGAAGGATATTATACCTTCCGTAAGCAAACTTCTTGAACATTGCGAGGTCAAGTGGCTCAACGCTCGATCAGCATGCTCGACCACTGTAAATGTAGAGGTATCGTTTGGTGGCGCGACGTGGTCGATAAGCTCAGCAGATATTGCGTTCGACCAACTCAGTTCAACAGAATGCCTTGGCGCATTCTTTGAGACAACTTCTGGTACTGGGACCCCCTCTTGGATCTTTGGCGATGCATTCCTGGTATGTGGCAATGATAAACGGCCCGCGTTCTGCAATACTGAGCAGTTTTTCAATATTCTATTAGAAAAATGTGTACTCTGTCTTCCGCTACAATCCCCCTTCGATTGGCTTTGCCAGTCTCTCAAGTGTCGCCATCGCTGAAAATGGTGCCGGAGGGACCGTCCCTTCCGCGACCATTGGCACGGTATCTGCGGCGGTCACAAACACAAGCGATGCCCCACGTAGACATGCACTGAGTGCATCATTGTCTGCTCTACTCTTCCTGGCTTTCTCGGCAGTGCTCCTCCTTTAATTTCGATGTCATCTGCATTCGCCTTTCTAATGAAGGACTCATCTGTATAGGACTAATGGACACTCACTTATTTGGACCACGCTCACTTGTAATTAATGTATATGATGTGATGGAGGGCATGTACTTGTTACTGGTCGGTTCTTTATGAGTTATAAGCAGTGATGAACGGCGACTACACTAATCTATACAGGCAATTTATTTACCTTGGGACATGTACCTTGACAAATGAGAGATGTTTTGTGACGGTTGCAAAGAGGTTTAACCGCGAAAGGCTAGAGCGTTCTGGGACCGGCAAACAGCAGTTCCCGGTAGTGTTGCTACGAAGTGAGCTGAACTGAAACAAAGTATGTAGTGATGTCTCAGCTCCAAGCTGCATTTTTCAGAAAATGAGCATAACATGCTGAATAAAATTCCTAAATTCATGAAAATATTTATGGACATAGATTGAGCCAAAAGCCAGGAGGCATCTAAGGGGAATTCGTACTATAATGCATCATTGTCTTGCTATGAAGCAGCTCAGCAAATGGCTTGGATTTTGAGTCATTTTCTGAGCTGCTTCATAGCAAGACAATGATGCATTATAGTATGAATTCCCCTTAGATGCCTCCCGGCTTTTGGCTCAATCTATTTCCATGAATTTAGGAATTTTATTCAGCATGTTATGCTCATTTTCTGAAAAATGCAGCTTGGAGCTGAGACATCACTAGAAGTATGATGTCGAAGTTGAATGAACTGAACTAAAAAAAGTCAGCCACAATAAGGTGTCTGAGTGTATACACAGCATGTACTTGAGATTTGAAGTGGCTATGTGCACCAAGCTTAAATCTATGCTAAAATATTTTCGTCCTCATCTGTGATCAAGTTTCAAATGAGAACCTGAAGTTCATCCAACTTCTCTGCATGTTGGTACTCCTCTGAAGGTCCAGAAATGGCATAGTCTTCCTACTTTGTCTTAACACACAAGTAGACAACTTATTGGGTTGCTGCATTGCCTCATTTTTGAAGTGAAGTGGATGTTAGACTTAGGCACACATGATGAAGGTACAAGCACAGGAGAAAAAGCTTAGTAATACAGTGGCTCAAAAAAGTGTCCCAATGTTTGTAGCTTTTCACGTAATTGCTATATCATGAGTCAAGACGTGGAAATATGACTAAGCTATAGGAAGATGTCGGAAAGGTCTGCTTCTCAGCTTCATTTCGGTTCCCTATACCGTGGGAAAATAATGACATTATGTGAAGATATGAGTATTTTAATTTGATGACTCATTGGGACACTTTTTTGACTTTGAGTTTAACTAATGTAATCTCTATAATTCTAGTACTGTGTGTGACCTCCTTCTGCCCCAATCACTTCTGCCACTCTTCTAGACATATTGTCTATCAATTTTGGGTATTCCTCTTTGGTGATTCCATCATACTCTGCTGTAACACTGTCTCATAGTTGGAATAACCCCTATGGTGAATCTTGATATGCTATAAGTAATTTCTTGAGTGATTCTCAGAGGTATTCAATAGGGTTGATGTCTTGGGTCTATGTTGAACATGATAGAATAGTAATATTATGGTCTTTAAGTTATTTGGTAGCCAATCTAGAAGGTTGCTCTATAAGATTTAAGATCTCTTAATCACTATATTCTAATTTAAAAGGCTGCTGATGTTAATAAAGTGACTAAATTGATTATTTCCATCATTCCTATGACTATCTCTACTCAAATAGTCAGACAGACTCTCAAGACAGCCCATCTTAAAGCTATAATCAAGAAAAACAGATTCTTCTGTCTCCAACCTATAAAAAGAAAAGACAAGATGCTACTTTCAAGTACAAATATTAGACTGCTGATAGCCGAAAGAGGTTTATCTAGTTAGATATGGTTAAAATCAATAGGATGAGATCATATGGCAAGGAATTTGTATTAAAATAGATAGGACAATCATTAAGATAAAGAAAAGTTAAATAAACACCTTAAGTTTCAAGACGAAAACTTGATGGTATAGGACTATATGAGATAAAATGGAATGGGAATTTTCTACGAAGCAAAGGGGAGGATAAATACAGAGTAGTAAATACTCATTTGACAGGAATGTCTGCTAAGAAGCATGCAGGAGTTATAAGTTAATGAAGAAGATACTGTTTTGTGATAAGACAATGACCCTAAGTATACCTCTAAATCAGCCACCAATAGCCTGCAGACCATAATATTACTATTCTATCATGTTCAACATAGACCCAAGACATCAACCCTATTGAATACCTCTGAGAATCACTCAAGAAATTACTTATAGCATATCAAGATTCACCATAGGGGTTATTCCAACTATGAGACAGTGTTACAGCAGAGTATGATGGAATCACCAAAGAGGAATACCCAAAATTGATAGACAATATGTCTAGAAGAGTGGCAGAAGTGATTGGGGCAGAAGGAGGTCACACACAGTACTAGAATTATAGAGATTACATTAGTTAAACTCAAAGTCAAAAAAGTGTCCCAATGAGTCATCAAATTAAAATACTCATATCTTCACATAATGTCATTATTTTCCCACGGTATAGGGAACCGAAATGAAGCTGAGAAGCAGACCTTTCCGACATCTTCCTATAGCTTAGTCATATTTCCACGTCTTGACTCATGATATAGCAATTACGTGAAAAGCTACAAACATTGGGACACTTTTTTGAGCCACTGTATGTACATGGATGAATAACGTAGGGAACACCAACTTACCCGGGAATAGCTGGAGCCTGGAGTGGTGTCAATTAGTAATTGCAGCATGAAGGAAAGACAAGTTTGAAACAAATGTTCTTGGATCAGACACATAGAGCTAACCATTAGATAGTATATATATTGT